AAAATGTTTTGAGAATGAAGTACAAATGCACTTTACACAATTGATGTGTGTATGGATTGTGATAAGAGTTGTATGAGCCCCTAATAAAATGTTTTTAAAAAAAAGAAAAGAAGAAAAAAAATATATCATTAACACATTCGTTAAGCCTTAAGACTCACACTTGAGAGCCCAAAAGGTAAGTAATCCAACTTCTACTTCCTTAAATAGATATAATGGAACACTGAATCAAGAGGACTTGCAAAACCTTGTTTGTTCTGACCACACGATGGTCCTGCCAATGGAAACAAAGGTTAGAGGAGAAATGCATTACTAAGCCTGTCTTCGATGTTTTCAGCGTTAGTGCTGTTTGTATGACTGCAGTCTATCCCACTCTAGTTCTCGTTTCTGGCATTTATAATTTAATAATGCCTATATTAATTTAGTTGAAATTAATAGGTAAAGTCATATCTGTGTCTGTGCTTGTTCTGTAATTTTAAGGAGCTCTTGGTTATGCATTGAGCTGCAAGGGCAGCATTTAAAACCCTCCAGCCCCCTGGTGGGAGAAAGAGAAGGCTTTCTGCTTCAAAAAGGGGTTTACAGTCTTAGGAACCACAGGGCCAGATCCATTCTGTCCTGTCAGGGCTCCACGATGGCAGGGAGGTTTTTTGGGTTTGGTCTATATATCTCTTATCATTCTACTGAGGTCACAGTTTCTTTTCTCTCCAGGACACGCTCTGTAACAATTCGCACCAAACAAATATAAAAGTCATTCGGGAGTCCTTGCTTCCTTTTTCTTGTTGTGATTTGTTCCCTAGGATTCTGTTTCAGGAGGGTTAGCAATTGTAGGTTCAAGCTTCTGCATTTTTTATAGTCTCTGGATGATTTGTCAAAAAGTAACAAGAAGTCCTAGTAGGAGAGCAAAAATATTTTTTTATTGTTGAATTTGCAACAACAGAAGGTAGGGGCAACAGTGAAATACTAGTGCTGCTAAGTTCAAAAATGGGAGAAAGATTTTTTATGCAGAAGGTTGGAGTTTACATATGAGTTAGAAGGGTTGGAAGTTAACATCTGTTTAAGGATATTCTAAAAATGAAATGATGGGAATGTTCATCCAAAGGGTGTTTGTGTTTGCAGTTTACTTGCACAGGAAATCTGTCATTTAATAACAGATTAACTTATGAAAAGTTTATTTACAGCTCATATGTAACTCAGATGTAATACATCATTTAAAAGCATTCTTTCTGAGAACAAAACAATTTTTTTATCATAATCTTAAGTTTGCATGATTCTTTCACAGTTCCTCCTTTTGATCATGAATATCCATAGATATCTCTTTCTCTAAAATGTTTTTGTTGTGAATTAGGTGAAACAACAGATGATGAGGTTTACATGAAACAATTCCCATGTTTCCTGTTTCCATTACTCCTTTCCTGCCACTCTGAACTCTGTTCTTGGGAAAATGCTACTCTTTTTGAAATTCTCAAACTGCTGATTTTGATAAGGGGTGCATACCTCACGAGTGTTATATTGTTCCTTTTATAGACATTCTGTTGTTTGGCTCAGTCCTGAGTCACTAGGGGGAGTTAAGTTCCAGAGCTGAAGGGTATGAAGGGCCATAGTCTCAGGGTTCCTTCAATCTCTGTGGCACAAGTAAACCTGATCTCTTTAATGATTTTGAGTTTTGTTCCACATTTTTCTTCCACTCTACCTCAAATTGCTGTCCACAAGGTTTTAAGACTCTAGTCCAAGGGTTCACAAACTTTTTAAACAGGGGGCCAGTTCACTGTCCCTCAGACCCATTGGAGGGCTGGACTATAGTTTTAAAAAAATTTTTGAACAAATTCCTATGCACACTGCACATATCTTATTTTGAATTAAAAAACAAATGGGGCAAAAACACCTGGCGGCCGGATAAATGTCCATGGTGGGCCGCATGTGGCCCACAGGCCATAGTTTGAGGACGTCTGCTCTAGTCACTACTCATCAAAGTAGGATATAGAACCCATACATACTATATAGAACCTATATCCTACTATATAGGGTATAGAATCCATACATACTATATAGAACCTATTCCTACTCGATGGGTGATTCTATACCTATTGACCTTGGTGTTCCTGTTTCTGAGCCCCATTCTCTGAAGGGGCTTGGTTATGTTTAAGAAGTTTTTGTAATTTTTCCCCTATGTGGTCATTCTTGGATATAGACTTCACACATGTACACATATCCTATGTCAAACCTGGTTAAACAGTCATTCAATGTGGGTGTCTATCCATGTATCTACTTGTAGATTCTATATACAACTGTATTTACCTCTACTGTGTCAAAAATTTAAACCCCTTTCAGTGTCTCTCCTTGCCACCATCATTTTTACGCCAACCTTCTTTTTATTTTTTAAAAATAATTTTATTGGGGGCTCAGCTCGTATCACAATCTATACACCAATTGAATCGGGCATGTTTGTACATATGTTGCCTTCATTATTTTTTAGACATTTACTTTCTATTGAGCCCTTGGTATTAGCTCTTCTTTTTCCCCCCTCCCTCTACTCCCACCCTCATAACCCCTGATAGATTGTACATTGTTATTATTTTCATCTCTCACACAGACTACTGTCTCCCTTCTCCCATGTTTTCTGTTATTCTTCCCCCTGTAGAGGGATATATGGTTATGTGTCGATCATTGCAATTGATTCCCCCTTTCTTCCTTCCTCTCCCCCTCTGCCACCTACCCTTCTGGTATCACTATTCCTACTCTTGTTCCTGGATTCTGTGTGTCATGAGCTCCATCTCTTATCTATACCTGTGCGCATGTTCTGGTCTAGTCTGAAGTGAGAAGCAGCACTGGGGACATGGTAGTGGGGGATGAGGAAGCCTCAAGGAACTTTGAGGCTTATATAGTATATTCCTTATATACTATATTCCTTGAGGAATATACCGTAGTATGTTTCATCATTGCTTTACTGCACCCTGGTGACTCATCCCTTTCCTGTGTCCACTCTGTGTGGAGATTTTTCCACTGTCTACAGATGGGCTTTGGATATCTGTTCCAACCCTCCTCGCTCTCAACAATATATTTTTGTTTGTCTGTTATATGTCTGCTGATGCCTATTAACTGGTCCCTATGACTCCTCATAATCGCACTGGTGGTGTGCTTCTTCCATGTGGGCTTGTTGCCTCACTGCTGAATAGCCGCTTGTGTAGCTTCAAGCCTTTACGACCCCAGATGCTATATCTTTTAATAGCCGGGCACCATCCACCTTTTTCACTACATTTGCCTATGCACCCATTTTGTCTTTAGCAATTGTATCTGGAGGGTGAACATCTCAGACTGCCAATTGGTTGGAATAAATTGTTCTTGTATTGAGGAAAGGTATGAGCAGAGGCCTGAAGTCTGTCCACTGCCTCAGTGTATTGCCGTATAAATATATGTACATGGGCCAATACCTCTATTTTTGTGGATTAATGTATTTACATATATACATCGCTATGTTTATACCTCTATCCATTGCTTTGCTTCTTAGGTCCTTCCTCTGTTTCCTTTTACCTTCCTCCTGCCCCACTGTCACTTTTCCATTATTTCTGCCTCTTGGTACCTCCTCTTAGCTAGTTTGCTGTTGCTCCGACACCCCCCTCCCAGATCCCTATCTCCTCCTTGTTATTGACTCCAACACTCCAGTTGTTCCCCTGTCCATGGTGCAACCTGCTTACCGACCCCTTCCCCCACCGCCCTCACCTCCCAGGTTTCCTCAGGACCGTTGTTCCTGGGGCTCTCTCCTTGGGCATGCCTCCCATGCTTATCTTATATAGGTAGGTACACCAATTATGACATAGGCCAAACTGATAAAAAAATAAAGATAATAGTAAATAAATAAGAAAAGAATTAAAGAAGAGAGAGAAGAAATATACAAAAATCCTGGGTCTGTTCACTGGCCTTCAAGACTGTCTAGGAGCTGCCCCTCCTGGCCTGGAGCTGCCCCTCCTGGCCTGGAGCGCCCCTTGGCGGCTCCTCAGGGGCTTCCTAGCTCTGCCTTGCTCCAGCTGCTGATATGGTATGCTCCCTTCTTATTTAGCTCCACTTTGGGGGGTTCAGACCACACTGCCTCCCCACCACATGACCCTGGAAATGTCTTCTGTCACAGTCTGCTCCAGTAAGGGGACAGCGTGACACATGCTGTTGGCAATTGACCAGTCCCCTCTGTGTCCCATTAGCTCCC